AAGGAGGAGGTATGGGAATACAGCAATTGTCAGGTTGGCCCCTGGTGTGTCTACACTGCAGAATTTCTTTCTATTATATTCCAATTATTCTATGAAAGTATACTTAAAGAAAAGTTATCATTTTTCTTTTTTCTTTTCTTTTTTTTTTTTTTTTTTAAATTTTTTTATTACAGATCCTATGGAAGAAGACATTCTACAGGTTGTGAAGTATTGTACTGATCTAATAGAAGAGAAAGATTTGGAGAAGTTGGATCTGGTTGTAAAGTACATGAAAAGGTAGCTCAATTGCTAGTATTCGTGACACTTAGACAATTTTTGTTCGGATGTATGCACTGGATGCTTCTGTGTGAGGCCACAAGACCATGAGAATTCCATTTGTGAGTGTAGATATTTTAAGTTTAAATTTTATTCAAAAACAGGAGTGGGAAAAAGTTGGGCTGTTTAAAATAGGTAATTTGTGAAAAATTAAGAGTAGCATTTAATAGTACTTGCTACAGAGTTTTGTTTCTAGACAAAGGCTGTAGTTTCTGTCAGAATTATCCCTTCATCCTGTTTTCATTCATTTTTCATGGCACTGTGTAGATCATACCTTTGTTTTATCTGATTTTGTTCTCCTACTGTGTCCAGATCCTGTCTCACCTCCAACCTATTAAATCCTTTTTTATTACTTAGTTATTGTGCTCCTGTTACTCTTCCCAGGAGTCAGGAAAACTAGGTTCCATTTATTATGTGCTTACAAAGTGATACTTAACTATGGAGCTCAGCTTTCCATGTCTTATATCTGGAACATACTCATTTCACAGAATTAACACCCAAAAGACTACAGCAGTATAAAAACTTCACTACAATTTTGTGTGATGGGATTGATGTCTTTAGGCCTCAGAAAATGCAAAACACACAGTGCAGTTAACTGTTTTGTTGAATGCTGCATAGTAAATTCTTTATGAAGCTCTTCAGAAAGCAGCATGTCTCATTCCTGGTCCCTGTATGTGAGGTTTGCACCGATGGCAGTGTGTCTCTGGTGACGAGTGTAGGGCCAGGGATCAGGAGTTGGATGATACATGTCCCTGACGTTAGGTCTTCCAAAGCTGTAAGCGTAGAACCCTCTGCTCACCTGTAACAGTGATCTAGAAGGGATTTTGAGAGTACAGAGCTGCTTCATTTTCCTTGAGTTTCCTTAATTTGCTTTTAGTAGTAGCACAGTGCTAGAGGTAACACAGCTGTCTGTGGGCCTCCATGATTTGTTTCTATTTTTAGCAATAAATACACTATAGACGCCTTTACCAAGATCAAATCAAAGTACCATTCACAGCGAACTGCTGTTATCTTGTTCTCCAGTGTGAATTCTGAAACTTACTGTAAAAAAGACAGGTTCTTTAACAGTAATTTTTGCCCTCTTCTTCCTTTTCTCCTTCAGGTTAATGCAGTCATCTGTGGAATCAGTTTGGAATATGGCATTTGACTTCATTCTTGACAATGTTCAGGTAGTTTTACAACAAACTTACGGAAGCACATTGAAAATTATCTGAACGTGTAGTAAAGAGCTTGATGAGAGCCTGGAGCTCTCTGCTAGCTGTGCCATAAGTGCTTGTGAGGTATTTGCAAAGTGCATGATAGTAATGCCCTGAGTTTTTATAATTTCAGATTTCTTTTTAAACAACAAAGTGTTTTGTACATTTCTTTTCAGAAAGTGCCAAATTTGTCAGTATTGCATGTAAATAATTGTGTTAAAATTCTTTTATTGTAGTATAGAATCTATTTACAAAATGTTTGTTTATAAAGTTTTATGGATTTTTACAGTGAAGTGTTTACAGTTGTTTAATAAAGAACTGTATGTATATTTTTGTACTGATTCTATTTTGTGATGCTTTGGTATATAGCTAACCCCTTGTATTAAAGCTGCAGCTTTGATTCATTTCACACAGTTCTACATCCACAATGCTGCTGTCTCAACAAGCGTAGGAGATGATTGCTGTACACTCACCTGGCTGCTGCTTGTTTCTTCTCCAGAAGCTAAGGGAAGAATATTAGCTCATTTTCAGCCTCATCCTTCAAAGACAGAAGCTGGTGTGGCCCAGCCACTCCCAGAGCACACATGGTGTTAGCTGAAGCGTAAGTGCTCTCTGAGCTCTGTATTCCTGTGTGTTGTTACCTCTGGAGACAGGTGCTCGGGGAGGGAGACAAATGCAGATCTTTGCACAGTTACGCAGAGGAACTAGGGAAGTAGCTGACATGGGGCACTGTTGAAGCCTCTATCACTCATGTTCCACTTAATAGTTCTTCCCAGCCTGTGACATGCATTTCCTCAATGCAACATAAACCAGGTGGTAGTCAGTAGCAGAAGTGAAATAAACAGCCCTGTCTCTTTGGATCCGTAGTAGGGAGGGCTATGCTTGCGTCTGTACAGTTTGGGGTTCGGGCAAGTCTGCTTTTTGCAGATGTGCACCAACCTCATATAGTCGTATTTGGCCAATACATTGCGGCAAGGCTGGAAAGAACGAAGGCCACTTGAAGAAAACCCCAGTGGTAAGACAAATCTTTTCATCTGCTGTAGAAATTATGGGAGGGGAAGCAGAAGTGTGGATGAGTGTGGGCCCACACACTGTAGTATTGAAAGCTGGAATGCAAACTGGAGCTAGCTGTGGAGCAGGATTTGCAGCACCAGTTTAGCAGGAACCATGTCGATTAACTAGATTAGCTGCAGTTAACTGCAGCTTGAGCAGAAAATGCTCTGCAGTCACTTCACTGGCTGCCCCACAGGGTACAGCAGCAACTGGTTTTGTAGCTTTAGGTTGTGCCCTATGCTTCCCTTGTATGGCACACTGGGAGAGGTACCAACCTGGCAGCCTTCAACAAGGTGATAGATGAGGGAAGGGCAGATGCTGTTTCCCTTGATCTTAGCAAGGGTTTTTCTAACATCCTGCTAGGCAAGCTGATGAAGTATGGGCTAGTGAGACAGAGGTGGATCGAAAACTACCTGGGCAGGCTGGCCCCGATGATCAGTGGCACAACGCATAAGGAAGAACATGACCAGGAGGTGAAGGGAGGAGACTGTCCCTCTGCTCAGCACTGGTGAGACACAGCTGCAGTGCTGGAGGGACATGGACATTCAGAGCAACTCCAGTGCAGGGCCACAGAGATGCTTAAGGGAGTGGAGGTTCTCCTAATACAAGGGTAGGGTGAGAGAGCTGAAACAGTTGGGCCTGGAGAAGGCTGAGGGGATCTTAGACCTGATGGGGGAAATCAGAAGACAAAGACAGACCCTCCCCTGTAGCATCAAGTGAAAGGGCGTATGACAACAGGTACTGATACAAAATACTCCTTTTAACAACAGTTCCCTTGGACCAGGCTGTCCACAGGGGTTACAGATCCTCCTTCACAGGAGGTGCTCAAAACCTGCTTAGACTCCCCCTTTCCTGACCACAGGGCAAGCTGGAACTTGGTGAGTGCAAAAGGTCCCTTCCACCTCAGGCAGTCAGTGATAAGACTGATCTTCCCAGCTCAAGTTACTTTGTTTGGCACCTGTCTGTCTAACTGCAGTTACTTGTAGATACAGATCTAGGGGGAAAGGGACCTCATCTGAATCAAGCCACCCTAGTCAGTGCAACTAAAAGTTGCTACTTTTGGAGCTGCCTTTTTCTTCTTTCCCCTTTAAGAAAACCAGCACAGTAACTGCTCATATAGAGGAATATATTTATTAAATTCAAGCAAGAATTTTGCCAATTAGGTTTCAGGTACACAGCTCTGGCTTGGCCAAGTGCTGCTTAAGACAAACTTGAAACTGGTAAACATCTGGTTTAGAAGGACTCAGAGCATGATGTGACTGAGTAAGGGTAGTTGTAATTACATTTCCGTTCTCCCTTAAATAGCATATTCAACAATTACCTGCTTCCTTAAAGCCTTTTCGTGAAGGTATTTTCTAAAAGGTTCCACAACCATCAACCTGCAAAAATTGCATGATCCTTTTCCCAGAGTTTCTACCTGTGGGAAGAACACCCACATTTGAGGAAACAATCACACATACTTCAAGACCACAATGTTTGACATCTGGGTTCTTAAGAACTTTTTATTAGTGTAGTTTTCATGATTGCATAGTTTGCCAAAGAAATTTAACAATGAAATGTAGCTTCCTCACTGTGACCATTCCATTCTAAACCATCAATGCCCAGTGCTGTGAATTCACACCATGTACCAACAGTACCAAAGCAGTCCACTTCCAGGGCAAATTTAAAGTCAAACAAACAAAAATAATTCTGGCAAGTTAAATCCCATTGCCAAAGGAGGTAAATGCTCCTCTGTAACGGAGTCTGCACAACCCCAATTAGAAAATTCAGTTTCCCAACAGAAAAAATAGTAAGTGACAGAAGAAACCTGATCAAACTGCTTACTGCAAGTTAAATCCTTGTAAATATTTTAAATGCTAATGTTTCAGCTTGTGCTTTTAAAAGTGTTTCCTTAGCTCCTCTGGACATGAGCTGTCAGTTACCAGGAGACTGCGTGATCAGGAACAGGTCAAGCTGTCATCTTTAGCAGGGTGCCACAGGGGAAGGAGGGTTAGGAAGGTGGAGATTACAGGGCGACTTCTGCTCACCACAATCATCATCAAACAAATGCCTTTGGAGCTGTTTGCGTCCCCCATGCTGTCAGCAGCTTCAACAGCTTCAGTGCAACATCCAGAATCACCCTCACTTGCAGACAGTCACAACTATGAGTAGCAGCTGGAGAAGAGACACCACCTCACACCTCCTCCCAGCAGAGCCTCTCACCTGGGCTGCAACTCCAGAGCTTTGGGAACATGGTACAAGATGCCAACGCCACCACCACACACACTTTGTGAAGGGAAGGGGAGCAAGAGGAAGAAACGCCTTTGCTGGAACGCAGCTCCGCTACGTTACCAAGCCCCCAAAGGCAAAGGCTCTGCCTGGCACTTACACATCCGTGACAGCCCATGAAGTGAAACCTTGTTTATCAACGCAAACTGTGAAACAATGGGCTGCTATGTCCATCTCCTTTATTTGCGGCTCTGCGGTATAATGATTACAGGTCGACTTCCATGAACTGTACAAGCAGTAGAAGGTGGCCAACTATGCTTTACATCGTTTCACACAAAGCAAGTACAGAAATAGCCAATTGCCTAATTTTCTATTTAAAAAAATTTCTAGAGGCACAAAGCAGAAGAATGTTGGAAAAGAGACTCAGGGGAAGAGGTATGCATAAATAAAGAAGTATTTCTTACATCAAAAATGTCCCAAGAATCACAAAGTCTGCAGAAGCTTGGGTAATCAAATACTGCAGTACTGATCTCCTCAGTATAAAAGTGAAAGAGCTTTAGTTCTGTAATAAAAATTCAATTTCTTTTATTTTCTTCTGGAGAGAGGAAGGGGGGGGAAAAAGGGTGGAAGGGAGGTGTAAGAGAAGGAAGGGCAAACTTTAAAACAGCAGCCAGTAGTAGGAAGGGCAATAGGAGAGGTGAACAGGCACATTGGAACCATGGGAACATGTAAATTGACCACTGTCAAACCAGTGTAAATTTCTTGGTTTCTCATGGAAAACATTTTATCCACATATTTTCCTCCCAAACATATATCCAACACTGTCTTCAATATATGACTTTGTTGGTAACTTTTAGAACAGGAATACTGCGCTTATTCCTGCCTCCCCTTTGCTGTAAAAAGTTATCTAGATGATTTCAAACACTTTCTTCAGCTCTACTATAAGCTGCCAGTCAGACTTCTGCATTTCATCCCTGAACCAGTCCTTCAGAGCATCAATGGACTGACGGCTGATCTGCAACACAAGACAAACCCGTCAGAAACACATGCATATTAAGGAAGGCAGCTTTTAGAGCACTGGAAGGAATTTATCTGAAGAGCAGCACTTAGCACAGCAGAAAAGCTTCTCCTAACCCCAGTTTTGCTACTTGTGTCTGCATGAGCCATCTATTTGTTTGCTGCCTTCTACGATTCCTCACATCCCACCCCTTACCTGGTCTTCAGAGGGGGCAGAAGCACAGTCTCATGCCCTGTGCAGTAAGGTAAGGACCTGTGACTGGATAGGACCTCCCACGAACCCCAGGGCCCATAGGACCAGCACCACATCCCAAGCCCTGCATTTCCACCTGAAAAGCCACCATGCCTGCTCACCCTCAACACGTGAGTGCCAGAGGGTGTCTCACAACTTGGTAACTGAAGCAGTTCAGAGTGTGGAGAGCTGTGGCTGTGCTTCTGACAACAGAAAAATGAACAAGGGCTCATCCTCTCCTCACCCAAGCCCCGTGCTCCAGATCAGAGCAACTGAAGTATTGCTGTTTGTCACACAACTTCAAAACCAGGCAAACCATCACCCTGCGGTGCCATGGGGTCTGCTAAGCTGCTCTGAGCACCAGCCACATACGATGGTATGCAGAGAGCTAACTGTGTGGTTTGCCCTCTCAGGTGCAAGGTATTTTTAGCTGCAGTTACATCATTCCTTCGGTCCTCAAGGGGCACCACTACAAACCTCAAAGCAAGGTGACAGAGACACTGGGCTGAGCAGCACCACACCCAAACCATTTCAGATGTCCACTAGTCTGCCACAGAAGGTTCACAGGGTAATTTTTTCAGGCTCCATGCAACACTGCCACTTCAAGCAGGCTACCGCTATGTCATGACCCTCTTCAAAAACGCAGGCTGCTTTTACCTTACTGACGAGGATATCTGTTGCTTCAAAGTGTCGTCCGTACATTTTGGGCGATTCCCCAGGAATAGGTTCTATTTTCACACATACTTCTTGGCCTTTTTTCGCAACCTCCACTGGTTTATGGTTTATTTCAATACTTGTAACTATTCCAATTTCAACAAACTGCAGTATAAAGAAGCAGCAGTGTTACACATCCACAAACCCCTCCGTGCACACGATCTTCTCTGAATTCCTCTTTATGTGTACCCACATGAAGCACTGCACCTCAGAACTGGCACTGCGAAACACTTAAAAGGGCACTGACAGCCCCCCTCCCACAGTTCATCTGGAATATCAATTTGTTATCCCTCAGAGTGTCCCAGGTTGACTTTCTGCCTTACTAGCTACCAGGAATGACAATTCTGCTCCTTACTTGGTATCACAATACACAACTCGCAGTGAGGAAGGCAAGTGGCTCACTGGCAGGGGGCGCCCCACTTCTGGCAGCTCCTGTGTCCCACTACAGGACTGCTCTCTCCCAGCCAGAGCAGCAAGAGGGCTGATGAGATCAAGTCTCCTTGCTGGTAAAAGCCTGAATCTCATCTCCCACCAAAACTGTGCACTGGGGAAGGGCATCCGAGCCTTTCTTGGGGCATCATCCCAGGAAGTACCGGGTCAATCAAGTATCCACAGAAGAGGCGCTTACTTACGTTTTTGCTAGGTACACACATGGGAGTCCCCTGCTTCACCTGGCCGGCCTCCACAACTACACCCATCACTATTGGGTCACGAGAGTTGAAAATGAACTGAGGGAGTATTTTCATCTTGCAAGGAAACACTGCTATATGCCTGGAAGATGACAAAGAAACGACATTTTGCAATAGATTATGGGAACAGTGTACACAACATGAACACTTCAGCCTTCTCCCACGGTTCTTGGGCATTTATTTTCTTGGAGAGAAATCAAGCAGGCAAAAACTCTTAAAATCTAGTCAATACTCGATCTTCAAGAATGATGGGGGACAATAATCAGGCTTGGCTAACAGATTTTATTTTGACTGGCTTGGGCAGTCAACTAAGACCAAGACCAAAGGAACAGTAGTTGTACAGTGTAATTACAGTCTCACAGGAGCACAGGAGTAGAAGTATTACTGCCTCAGCTCATTACAGGGACTTCAAAAATTCAAGATTTTTGTTTGTAAAGTGAACAAGTATGTTCAAACGCTGAGGTACAAACTCAAATTGGGATCAATGTGAAATGAAACTCGTTTTCATTTATTTTGACTGTCCTTACTTTACTGAGGATCACCCAGTAACAGATTCCAAAGATTAATTCTGGGTCCCTATGCTGCTGCATATCCATGTTACCAGTCAGAATAAAGCCCTGTACACTGGAATTGCACAAACATGAAACAATAGAATCCCAATCCCTTTAGTTTTCTTAACTCTGCAAGACTAACACTCATCTGTCACAGCCTGGGAACAGAAGCCAAGCATGCAAAGCAAACATTAGTAAGAACACTCCATATTACAAGATATGTTTTAGCTCAATCTTACAACTGCGTCACAGTTCTTGCCCTACTGAGCCTAATCCCACATGTAAACAATTAGACTGGAGTACTCAGTTCTTGAAAACTAACGATTTATTGTCCTGTCTTCTTCTCTCCTTCCTTCCCACCAGAACTACATGCTAAATAATAATTATTTGGGAAAAAGTTGAATACAGTTTCATTTATACTAAATTAATTGAGGCACTTATTTGGGAAGCATCCAAAATAGGATTTCTCTTTACTTACTTGAATTCCTCTTGTTTCTGTTTTTTGTAGTCTTGCCTGTATTTTGTGAAGGCATCAAATAAATGATAAATTATTTCAGCACTAAAAATTCGAACTCCTAAACTATCAGCCATTTCCTGTGCATCACGTTCAATCCTCACGTCAAAAGCCAGAATGACTGCGTATCTGTAAGCAGACAGAAGTCAAACAGTTTGAGACAGACCACAGAACCCGAGCTGAGGAGAGGGCATTACTCAAACACCACTGCACGTTTATCAACGTGGTAGGTAAATAAAGCAGAGAAGTTACTCACTGTGGGTCATGCTCCAACATAACCGATGCCTTCATAACATCTTTTTTATGGACAGGACCTATATTAATTCCCGAATACTGTTGAAGGAGAAAGCCACATAAGTCAGTCACTAATCTGATGCAGAAACTACATCATCAGACAGAGCACACAAGTACTTACTGGCACTTCTGATGTTTTAAGAAATTCAAGTAATGCTTCTAAAGAGCCTAAAGTAGAAGCCTGGACATAAACACCTTTCTCTTCTAATTTGATTGCATTCAGTGTTTGCTTCAGTTCATGTATTAGTTCATCCTTTAGGGGAAAAACAAGAAAAGAAAAAAGAAAAAAGCAAGTTTTAGTTCTGTTGCTCTTTATGCCTCAGGGTGCAAAGTCTTTCTGTTCATGAGCTTCTGGAAGCATGTGACAGCCATACTGACACAGACTTGCAGTACAGGTCACACGCAGCCCTGGGGCATGCTGCTGCTTGTTCCTACCATTAGAAAAGTTTGAACTGAACTAGACTTGAGGATTTTGCAAGAAGGTGATCACATAACACAAAGCAGATGCTCATCTTAGGAGTTAGTAGCATTTCTCTGGAGACTACACACAGGTCTCCCCAGCACTCTTAAGTTTCTGCTGACAAGACCGAGTGAACATCCACCTCACAGTGTGTGGAAACTCCTCTGGTTGCCAGAGATCAACAAGGAAAGCATACACTCCTAAAACCATGAGCTGGGGAAGATTCTGAATGTTCCTCAGGCCTAGACACAAAGCAGAGGATGTCAGACCAGCAAGGAAGGCCATTGTGCTGCTTTCAGAGAAGTTAAAAACCTTTAACAGCCCAGGCCTCTTAAACCCAAGCACTCAGTCTTTTCCTGACAGATGAATGGGTGTTGCCATTTACTTTAAGCCATCGCGTATCTACTACTAGTAGTCTCAGATGTACCCAGCAACAAAGTCCATATTCGGAGGACCTGAAAGATTAACCCCACCTTTAAAGGCAAGACAGAAGTAGACAGAAGGGTAATTAAAACTATGGTTAAAAGTAAATTATCAACATGCAAGTTTCCTTTTTAAAGTGGAGCACCTCAACTCAGTTTTGGTTTTAAGATGGCTACATTCTTTCCTCCACCATTTTTAAAGTGTAAGTCACAAAAGAAATCTACTACGAGAGTCTTAAATCAGCTTCGCAATTATGACAGTCTGAAGAACTCCACTAGCACATATTTGCCTAATAATTTAACTGAAATATATGCACAGATTACTACAAATACCAAATCAGTAATTAACAGAGTCAAACCCTGCTGCGATCCTTGTTTTCAAACCTTATTCTATCAGCAGAGACACCCCAGCAGATCATCAGGGAAATGCTAAGAATCAAGATACTAAAACATCACAACGCTAATGCTGCACGTGGACACAAGGCAACAACAACATGTTATTGTAACAGGTTTTAAAACACAACCAAAAAAAGTTATTTGCATACCAAGCTTTCAACATTTGAGTATGCTTCCTCACTTGTTTTGCCCAGAGAAGCTGTGGCTGCCCCATCCCTGGCAGTGTTCAAGGCCAGGCTGGACAGGGCTTGGAGCAACCTGGTCTAGCGGAAGGCCTCCCTGCCCGTGGGAGGGGGTTGGAACTGGATGATATTTAAGGTCCCTTCCAACTCAAACCGTTCTGTGATTCTGTGATCACCAGAGAACTCCATTACCTTTAAAGCATCTTATTTCACCATGAGCCATCTCACCTTGAGGACCGGGACTTCATCCTCTTTATAAGCTACAAGCAGTGGCAAACCAGCCAATGTTTTTTCCAAATCTTTCCCAAGAATCTTCACACCTTGAGCAGCAACGACCTCTTTGTGCTTTTCATACTGGTTCTGAAAAGGAGAACACAGAGTTCATGTAGATGCCACACAGCAACCCAAGGTAGTGCTGAGCAGCTGAAGAACCTGCCACCCATAAGCAAAGTGGAGAGCATGACAGCAGAGTCCAGCAGTTCCCATCTTTCACTACTGACTTTCTCTGCTTTGCATGGTTCACTCTCCCTTCTGATAACCCCCACCCCTGCCAAGGGTGGCACAGCAGGGGGAGTCATCTAAAAACAGGGAAGGCAGCTGAAGCCAAAAAGGAATATATACTAGAAAAGGGCAGACAGTGATAGGCAGCTGCTCACTACAAAAACCCCCAAATTCAGCCCCATAGGTAAGTAAGACAAGGATGGCAACAGCTTAACTGAAGCACCACAGTTTAGCTAACACAGCCCAAACTCCATGTGGGAAGAGCTGTCTCATTCTCCCACTGGAGGATCCCGCCTTCTTGTGTACCTAGTTCCATGCTCCATTTCCCAGGTGTTCCTCCCCACCCAGGGAACCTTGAAGATCTCCCCCCATCCAGGGCATGGCTCTACGGCATCAAAAAAGCAGTTACTTCTGAGGACCTTTAAATCAAAATTGGAGGGATTTTTTCGGCTTGTTTCTTCCTTTCTTTTGTTTAGGAGATGTCCCATCCTTTCCTTAGAACTGCCAGGCAGCTTCTTTTCCTAGTAAGCACTTTGTTCCTGCAGGCCTCTATTCTATAGCCCTCCACCCCAAAATCTGGGTCTTATTTCAAGGCTGACAATTCCCCCATGGACAGGCTGAACTGAAATGTCTCCTCACTGCCTGCCTCAAAAAGAAACCAAACCAGCCAGCTTCCCTAGATCTACTTCCCCAGCTAAAGGTTCCCAATCCAGTGTTTCTCATCATGGTGCAGGTACCCCATACTCCGTCTCCCACCAAAAGTGCAGAAACACATCTGAACATCTTGCTGATGGAAGCCTGTGATCTGTGACATTGCTATTCAGGCCCACGAAACAACCTTGTGAGTCTCATAAGTTTCACACACCAGTTTATCTTCTGCTTCAAATAAAGGGAAGCAAATAAACATGTTTTCAATTCATTCCCCATGGTACCAGAATATATCAAGCAGCTTCCAACAAAGCAGAGAACATAAACCTAAGCATAAATGTCAGTTTTCCTTTTGCCACTCTCTAGCCATTTTCAAGTTGCTGTGAAGCTGCACACCAGAGCAGGAAGCCTCACTTAGATTCTCCAGGACAACTGTCCTACCCCCAGGTGATCAGAACACCCCACACACAAGGGGAAAAACCAGCTCTTGCCTTCCTATTTCTATCAGGCCAAGCAGCACTTGCTCAGATTCCACCTCAGCCTCAGTACTGTATCCTTCAGCACCTCTGGGGCCACAATGGTCTCACAACAGAGGATCACCATGGCAGAGAGAGAACACCAACACAGCCCCCAGCAATTACCAGTGCTACTTTACAGGAGTATTTAAGTTTGCAGGAAGGGACTCAATTAAACACTAGGAACAATGGTGGCCTGCAGGGACACAGTTCTCCGGTGAAATGAGGCACAGGACAATGGTTGCAGCCTTAGATTAGAAACCCAACACTAGTTTTCCACCTTTACACCAAGCCTTTAAGGCCCATCCTACTACATTCACCTAGGTTACCTATATGGGTTTCTTTGCATTATGCAAGATCTGTGCAGACACTTACTCCTTCCTTTTTAAACAGAAGGAGTAAGAGCTGCTCTGATTTTTCCATCATCTTTGAATTGCATGCACTAATGTATGTATTAATGTATTTATAGCCTTTTGTTTTTGTGGCTGTCCTCCTCTCACAGAAAGTAATACAGGCAGCATCTCCAATTCAGTGTATCCCCAGTCCATTACAACAAGGGCAGCAGATTCAGAGGTCCTGGTCAACACCACTCACCAACCCCTGCAAGAAACTCTTCTGTCCACTTTACCCTAATCCAAGTGTACATGATTTTTGTTATTAAAGTATGTATTATTAATAAAGTGGGGTTTAACTCAGAAGTCACTGTATAGTACATTCCAGTTTCTATTTAAGATGGGCATCTCCCTCTCACATGCCTGAATCCCTTCTTAAAGCATCCACATCGTAATCCTCACCACCAGGCAACTCCTGGATCCTTCTCTGCCACTGTTACAGCAGACATGCCAATAGGTCTACACAAGCATATTCACAGAAACACTAGATGTGCCCTGTCTTCCCCTTTAACTCCTTCCTACATACTGCATTTTTTTCTGGTTCATAATCTTCTCTCAATGCCAATACAACATGCAGTTTCCATACCTTAACTCGTAGCTCCTTCATAGGAGGAGGCAGCAGAAGACCTCTGATCTGAGTTACTATGGGACCTTCAACCCCAGGAACAATAATGGTGTCTCCTTCTTTCAGGCGTCCGTTAATCAAAATAACATCTATGGTAGTGCCCATGCCTGGCAGTGCTTTAACCTGAATGAAAGGGGGAAAGAG